AAAAAAACCTATTGCCCCCACCCTTGTGTGACGGGTGGGGGCCCTAAATAAGAATGTGGAGGGGGGACCTACTTTCCTCCCCTCCCGCCCCCACCCCTGAGCAGTGGGTGGGGGCCATAAATACAAAATGGGGAGGGGACCTAATGTCCTCCCCCCACCCCTGAGCGGTGGGTGGGGGCCATAAATACAAAATGGGGAGGGGACCTAATGTCCTCCCCCCGCCCCCACCCCTGAGCGGTGGGTGGGGGCCATAAATAAAAATTTTGGGGGGGTGGCGGGTGGGGACCCTAAATAACAATAAGGGGGGGACCTAAGGTCCTCCCCCCGGTTCCCAACCCTGCGCGGTGGGTGGGGGCCCTAAATTACAATAAGGGGAGGGACCTAACGTCCTCCCCCCCAGCCCCCACCCCTGCGCGGCGGGTGTGTGCCCTAAATAACAATAAGGGGGGACCTAAAGTCCTCCCCTCCCGCCCCCACCCCTGAGTGGTGGGTGTGGGGGCCCTAAATAAAAATAAGGGGGGGCTAATGTCCTCCCACCCCTGCGCAGCGGGTGGGAGCCCTAAATAACAATTAGGGGGGACCTAACGTCCTCCCCTCCCGCCCCCACCCCTGAGCGGTGGGTGGGGGCCATAAATAAAAATTGGGGGGGGCGGTGGGTGGGGGCCCTAAATAACAATAAGGGGGGGACCTAAGCCTTGCCCCGTCCTGCAATTAGGCTCAGAGCACTCTGATTGGTGGGTTTCAGCCATCCAATCAGAGTGCTCTGACAGGTAAATGAAGAGAGTGACAGGTAAGTCTCTACATTTACCTGTCACAGCACTCTGATTGGTTGGCTTGAAATCCACCAATCAGAGTGCTGTGTGTCATTTTACACAGCATGGGAAAGTTCTTTGGATTTTCCCACGCTGTGTAAAATGACACAAAGCACTCTGATTGGTGGATTAAGTAACCAATCAGAGTCCTCTGTGTCATATTACACAGCGTGGGAAAGTCCTTTGGAATTTTCCCACGCTGTGTAAAATGACACAAAGCACTCTGATTGGCTGTATTTCAAGCTAACCAATCAGAGTGCTCTGTGCCATTTTTTAAGTTCTTTGAAACATTAGGTCCCCCCCTTATTGTTATTTAGGGCCCCCACCAGCCGCGCAGGGGTGGGGGCCGGGGGGGAGGACATTAGGTCGCCCCCAATTTTTATTTATTGCCCCCACCCACCGCTCAGGGGTGGGTGTCGGGGGGAGGACAATAGGTCCCCCCCTTATTGTTATTTAGGACACCCACCCGCCGCGCAAGGGTGGGGCCGGGGGGAGGACATTAGGTGCCCCCACCCACTGCTCAGGGGTGGGTACCGGGGGGAGGACATTAGGTCCCCCCTTATTGTTATTTAGGGCCCCCACCAGCCGCACAGCCCCCCATACACACACTGCCCCAAACACACACACTGCAACTCTCACACACTGCCCCACAGACATTGTCCAAATACACATACTGCAACTCTCACACACACTGCCACCCTCACATACACACTGCACCGCTCACACACAAACACTGCAGCTCTCTCACACACACACTACAACCCTGACATACACTGCCGCCCTCACGCACTCGCACACACACTTCACCGCGCACACACACACACACACTGCACCTTTCACACACACTTCACCCCTAACACATACCACTGCTCCTATGCTCTATATCCCAGCAGACCCCAGGTAAGTTGTCAAACTGTTCTTAAACGGTTTAATTACTTACTCTGGGATGGGATCCTGGCACTACTGGCACCATAACTACTGCACTGAGCTGTAGTGGTTATTGTGCCTGGGTTATTTCTTTAAATAATCTACAAGTGCCCCTCCCGAGTTCAGGCTCTGGATCCGCCACTGGGTACATCTGGTATCATTTTCATGTTATTAGCTTGGTTAATGCAGGAAACGTTTCCCTTGCATTCCATTGATGCAGGTGCGTGTCTTTTTTGATGCCTCATCCTTGCACCAATGGCAATTATTTGCTGGATGCTCAATGCCAGCATCATTTATTGATGCCAGTATGTGCCTTTCTGGCACCTCAGCTTCAAGGAAAATTTTGCGTCCTTTCAGATTTGACATACAAAATCTTGGCCTTTGTGGATCAGTGCTAATTCATGGTCCTTGACACTGCAGTTTGTGCATGTTCTGATTTGGCTTTTTTTCTAGTTCCTGATATTTGCTTCCCTGACCAAGCTTCACTGATCATCTTTGCTTACTGACTGCCTTCACCTTGGCCAGTCTGACTTACCTGTGCTCCTGAATTCTGATCTAGGCTTGTTTATTGCATTTACTAGTTAATTAAACTTTAAAGTTCTGGCGATACTTCTTTCTAAGCCTTTTGTCTACATCTGCAGTTAGGGATCCAAATATACATTGTGTAGCTTTATATTGGTATAGATGTTGCAAGATCTGAGACCAAGAGTAAATATTAAATACAGTGTAGCCCTGATTTTAGTGTCAGTAAAAGAGAAGCTTAAACTCAGTGGTGATGTTGTAACCATTAGTGGTTTGTTTTCTTTGATACTTTTGCTCAAATAGAAAAGAGAGCTACAAACCAGTTGACACAAAGTGTGAAAAATTTTATATGAAATGGTCCAATCAGAAGCTTCCCTATAAAGTTGTCTGATTGAATGAGCCTATTAACAAAGAACCAGACAAAGTAAAAACAGAAGACTGTAGCTAAGCACATTCCTAGGACAAAAACATGTGTTATCTGTAGTAAGATCTATGCCTCTAGCTATGTATTTTATTTTATAAGGTGGTGCAAAAAAAAACAAAAAAAACATTTAAAGTTCTAAAGATTTTTGATCTCCACATAGTACTCATTATTAAATGATATGGAATTCCATGTACAAGTTACTAATACAAAGTATATGTAACAACAGATTTTTGGAAGATAGAGTGCCATCTAGTGTGATAAATAGGAATTGTTTTTAATATAGTCTCAACCTATAAACTGCACGTTTTGTATTAAAAGTCAGCCATAATTGAGTTGGAAAAAAATGTTTTGTTGTTAAAGAACAAGAGATCGCATAAGGGGACACCACCATAACCACAGCATTTATAGACCAAGGCAGTGATAAACCGATCGAAAAAACTTTTTTTACAAATGGAACATAGACTTTCTATATTACGTTTCATGGCCATTAATCACATTCCCCCGATGCCTAGAGGAGGTGACATATCAAAGATGCTATTACAGCGAGAGGCACAGTGGACTCACCGCTTAGACATGGTGACACCGAAAGGACTCAATGAGAATATTGTGTTTTCTATGTTTCTTTAACAAATGTTTTTTTAAAAAGTTTACCATTAGTCATTTTGCGAGGAATTCGCTGAATTTCTTTATTTATCTTATCTATTTTATCGTTACATTTTTGAATTTTTATTTTATTATTTTTTGTATTCTTTATTTTTGTTGTGCTTTATAAGGTGCACAACGTGACCTAAGACATGTTATCAACAGTGAAACATTGATCGCAGTGTTATAACAGAACATATCAGATATGCAGCACATTTTATGATGTAATAATAATATAACTTTTACAACACGGTGGGGCCAGTCATCCGTCGTCAGAAGGGGTATTAAAGCCTGAATTCCTCTGGGTTATTAACCCCTTAAGGACAGAGCTTCAAAAGATGGTCTTTCACTTAATGACAACAGCATTTTTTTTCATTTTTTGCTGTTTGCGTTAAACTGCAATTTGCATTTTACAAATTTATTGCACCGACACATATTATATACCATTTTTTTAAAGGACAGAAAGGGCTTTAATTTGATGTAACATATATATATATATATATATATATATATATTGATATAAATGCTTATTTATTATAAACAAAAATACAGAAAAAAAATGTGTGTTTTTTTTTTACAGTTTTTGCAATAATAATGTGTGCACAATTAGTGCAGGTTAAGGAAAGTAATTAAAAATTAATTCATTTAGTTGTTCTGATTTACAGAATATATAATGTGTCTGAGATTTTAAGGTTTTTTTTTGGTAGTTACAGGTCACAAAGCACAAGGAGTAAACTAAACCTTTAATGTGGAGCGATTTTAGAATTTGGTATGTTTGTCTTGTAAGCTTAATAGCCATAAAAGAAAACAAAATTGCTACTCAAAAGTATATATTTATATAAAGTAAACATCACAGGCTATTTACCTAAGGTTGTTTTGACACTTTCTACGTAGCCATTTCACCGCCAACCTTTGCTAAATATTGGAGTAAAATTTTGTTTTTTTTGGTTTTTGGCACACAAACTTATAACAAAGAAATTCTCATGTATATTTTGTAAAGTTTTTGTGTGCTATTCCTGTACAAAGTTTTATTGTGTGTTCAGTTACATCTGCTGAGTAAAATGGCACCCCCATTGTATGTCTTTGGCACTATTTCGTGAAGTTACAGTGCCATATAGGATACCTGTCCTTTTCAGTATTCACAGTAGAATTTTGAGAGACGGATTTAATGAGCCTATGCTTCCATTTGGGGTATTATAGTAGTTTGACTGTTCAAAAAACAAAAATCAAAAAACAAAGGCCTACCATTTGTAGACACTCCAGGGTATTTCATAAGGTGCATATTTTGCCTTAACATGCCCCCATTTTATCACCAATATATGCCAAAGTATATGATAAAAAATAATTTTGTGCATTTTTTACATCTGGATTGCATTTTTGCTGGGCATTTTGTATATTTCATATGTGCCACTAAGTTCAAACCCCCCAAATTATGCTCAGCTAAGTCTTCTGAGTAAAAGGACACCCCCATTGTTTGTCTTTGGCACTATTTCGTGAAGCTACAGTGCCATATAGGAGACCTGTCCTTTTCAGTATTCACAGTAGAATTTTGAGAGATGGATTTAATGAGCCTTAGCTTAAATTTGGGGTATATGTTTCATATGTTGCTAACAGTTTGAATGTTCAAAAAAAAAACACAAAGGCCTACCATTTGTAAAAGTAGACACTCCAGTGTATCTCATAAGGTGCATATGGTGCCTTAGCATGCCCCCATTTTTTCACCAATATATGCCAAAGTATGTGGGGAAAAAAAATTTTGTGCATTTTTTACATACGGATTGCATTTTTGCTGGGCATTTTGTATATTTCATATGTGCCACTAAGTTCAAACCTCCCAAACTATGCTCAGCTAAGTCTTCTGAGTAAAAAGACACCCCCAATGAATGTCTTTGGCACTATTTCGTGAAGCTACAGTGCCATATAGGAGACCAAACCATATCCGTTTTTACCGAACTTTGAATTTTGACGCTGGGCCTATGTGCAATTTCCATGCATCTTCGCAGGTTTTAAATTCAAACTACCCCACAAAGGCCTACCATATCTTAAAGTAGACACCCCAGGGCATTTCAAAAGGTATATTTTGAACCTTAGCGTGGGATCATTTTTCCGCTAGCTTGTACCAGGTGTAGTGGTAATAAGCGTTTTTTCTGCCTTTTTGACATACAAAGTGAGTTTTCACAGTATATTTTGCAAACCTTATGTGTGCTACGACTGTATAATACTTCATATGTTGCTCAGCTATGTTGGCTGAGTACAGCAATACCCCCATGTGTACCTTTGCCAGGTATGTGTGGACATCGGAGGGGCACATTTGGGACACAGCCATTCCAGTTTTTTTCAAACTTTAAATTTTTACGCTGTGCCCATGTCCCATTTTAGAGTATTTTACCAGGCTATATAATCCAAATACCCCATAAAGCCATACCATTTCTTAAAGAAGACATCCTAGGGTATTTCAAAAGGCATATTTTGAACCTTAGCGTGGGATCATTTTTCCGCTAGCTTGTACCAAGTGTAGTGGTAATAAGCATTTTTTCTGCCTTTTTGACATACAAAGTGAGTTTGCGCAGCATATTTTGCAAACCTTATGTGTGCTATGACTGTATAATACTTCATATGTTGCTCAGCTATGTCGGCTGAGTACAGCAATACCCCTGTATGTACCTTTGCCAGGTATATGTGGATGTTGAAGGGGCGCATTTGAGACGCAGCCATTCAGTTTTTTTCTAACTTTGAAGTTTTACGCTGTGTCCATGTTCCAATTTGGAGTAGTTTAGACAGTTGGTTATTGAAACTTCCCCACAAACACATACTATTTATTAAAGAATACACTCTGGGGTAATTCAAAAGGCATATTTTGAACCTTGGCGTGGGATAATTTTTTCTCTAGTTTGTTCCAGGTGTAATGGTAATGAGCGCTTTTAAAATGTATTTTTTTACTTTTTTAAACTTTTTTACTTTTAAAAACTAGTTTTTAAACTTTTGTTTTGCTTATTAATTTTTTTACAGATTTAACATTTTTCTAAGCTTTTTTTTTTTTTACCGTTAACCCCTAACTAGCAGTAAGCAGCACTAACAGTAAATTCCCCATTTTCCCATAACTCCCACCCACCCCAGCTAGCAAAATATATAGTTATAAAATATTTTAATTAATTAAATAAATTGAACCCCTGAGGGTTAAAAAATAAATAAAAGTTAATCCTCAGGGGTTAAAAAAATTAGATCACAGTATAATACTGTGATCTGTATTTGATCGCTGTAGGCAGTGATCGACTGGCAGGGAAGGGGTTAATTTTTATTTGGACTGGTAAAGGGGTTTTTTTTTTTTTTTTTTTTACTTAAACGTTATTAAAACTTTTTTTAAGCTTAATTTTTAACTTTTTAAAGTTTATTTTAAAACTTTTTTTAACGTTAACCCCTAGTTAGCCTAACACCAAATCCCCCAATTCCCCACTAACTTCCACCCACCCCAGCTAGCTAAATATATAATTTTAAAATATTTAAATTAATTAATTAAATAAATTTAACCCCTGAGGGTTAAAAAAAAAAGAATTAACCCTCAGGGGTTAAAAAAAAATCAGATCATAGTAAACTGTGATCCCTGCCAATTGATCACTGTAGTCAGTGTAGGGGTTAATTTTTAATTAAAATGGGTAAAGGGGGGTGGGATTGTAAATTAACTTTATTTTTTTTCTAACAGGGGTAGGATCATCACTGTTCCGGATCCCTGCACTTCACACAGAACCAGGAAGTGCAGGGAGGCGGAAGGTAAGTATACTAAGCACATGTGCTCGCTCTGACATGCGGTCAGAGCGAGCACATGTGCTGGGCAGCCTGATCGGGTGCTCCCAGTCTGCCTCTAATACAGAAGCAGACCGGAGCACCAATAACCACGTGATCCGGGGTTAATTTTACTCGTCATTAAGGGTTTCCCCTGAGTGACGGACCTCGTCCGTCACTCGTCCTGAATGGGTTAAAGGTGGGGGGGGGCGCTGATGAGAGCTACGGCTCATCTGCTATGGCTATATCTGCTGTCTCGTTCTCAGTCTGCCGTCATAGCGAGTTATTCTTGGTAAAATTAAGCATCGTCAGCCTGTGTCACATAGCGTCTACCAGGTAGTGAATACTGTTGGTTATAGTCAACGGAGTAGGTAGGTAGGGTTGGGGGATGTACAACTAGTCAAAGATAGAATAGCATCAGCTATCGGAGCCAGTTCGAATTGTGGGAACCCTGAAACAATATACAGTGTCATCGCTAGAAATTAGAGAGAGGAGTGATTTGAGTTCACATTGAGCATATATGGATGTTGAACAGGGTAGTGCGAAAGTCTACTTCACGGTGGCGTGCCACGGGATCCCCCTGCAGTCTCTCTGGGGTAAACAGGGTAATCCGGTCAACTGACCATGAGGGTTGTAGCGGCAAGGAAAAGGTGCTCTCGGGCAGTCCCAGTTCACTTAATAATCGATGCGATTCAGAGAGGTGGGTAATTGAGTGTGTCTTGCCCCCCTTTTCGACTGTAAGTTTGTGTATGCCCCATTTATATGGCAACTTACTATCCCGGAGGTGCTGAGTGAGTTGACGGAGTGACTGCCGCCAGGCAATGGTGTGGCGGGATATGTCCCTATAAAATGTCAATTGATGACCCTCAAAAGCGGTGGTGGAGGATAGCGCCCCTGTCCGAGTCTCGGATGAGTTTAATTAGGATGTCTCTCGATGCCTCTGGAGGGGCTCTAGGGGCCTTAGGTAGTTGAAAGCAATGATCCATAACAACGGCCTGTTTTTCTCTCTCCTCCGGTCCGGTCAGCTCCCTTCTCTGTCCTGCGTTACGGTCAGCTCCCCTGTAAGTCTCGCAGTCTGAGTGCCGCGCAGAGCGTTTCCATGGTAACCTGTGGCAACGCTCTGACCCCGCGGCTCTCGCTAGACTTGCAGTGGAGCTGACAGGTTTGCTGACCGGACCGGAGGAGAGAGAAGGGAGCTGACAGGAGCTGCAGGAAAGGTAAGTTACAGCTCTCTGCCAGCCCCCAACAGGACCGCCGGGCTTGTAATGAGCCCGGCAATCCTGGTCTGTATTATGGCAATGTAAGTTGCCATAATACAGACAGTGACTCGAGTATAAGACGAGTGGGGGTTTTTCAGCACAAAAAATTTGCCAAAAAACTTGTCTTATACTCGAGTATATATGGTAATCCGCTTTAAAAGACAAAAATTGGTTAAAGTCAATAATGACTACAAATATCATCACAGATGGCTAGGAGGTGCCCAGGAAAACTACAGATCCAACATGAGATTTAGGACCAAGATACGCAAGCCCTCATTTAACACCATTGATGCCAGCTCAGGCGATTCCACTTCTGACCCAGTCTCCAGAGATGATGTAAAAAGACAGACCTCTCAGACCAACCTCCAGATACAACACGGATCAACACCAGAGGCACACAATGTGCCGACCAGTACGGCAAGTAAAAAGTATAAACCCCACTGGCAAACCGCCCAGAATGAGGAGATGATTACTGTATTCATTTTATGTTTCATTGCCTTTGTATTTTCTGTACTGAGAATGTGGATTCCCTTTTAAATATGGGCACCACATCTGCTTTAAGTCAGAGCTTTATGTCTTCCAAATCTCGAAAGAAAAGACGACGAACTGTCACTGAGCTTCTTACAGAGGCACTGTTGCTTCTGAATATTCCATAAAGATATAAGCTTTATAAAAAAATACTGATGCTGACTGCATTGGAAGTTTTTATGAAATTCTAACGTAATCCAAAGATACCATAAGACAAAGTAGGGACTACTTTGTCTTATTGTAAAGACTGTGGTTGACAAAGGCAGAGCTCTGCTGTCAACTCTTGTTTAGTAAGAATCGTCACAAGTGAAGGCTGAGGGATTCAGGCCTCATGAGCTTTGGCTGCTCCCGGAGTCAGCGCATGCAGGAGAGTACAGAACTGATGCGGCTCCTGGCAGGTTAAACGCCAGGAGCTGAAGAGGGTTTTCCAGAAGAAGGTGGTGGCAGCCACAAGGGACAGCTTCATGTAAGTATACCTACCTTCCACTGCACTCTGAGGCAGTGGAAGGTGCCAATTCTATTGGATGCTCAAATAATTATGAATAATTAGTGAGAGTCCTTCCTGCTTTATCCTGCTTTATCTTTATCTATAAAATTAGTTCATTACCCGTGCTCGGAGAAAAATCATAGACTTTGTAATTTGTATTGTGATTGTCCAAACGTAAAAAAGGGGAGTGTGCAAAAATCAAAAGCGCTTCAATAGATATAATTTAACAGCAGCACGAAAACACTCATGTGGGAAAAGATCCTCCCTCCTACACACTAAATACACAAAAAAGATACAGAGTGGTATCAGTGAAACCCTAATACCTGTAGTGGAGCGCTGAATAAAATAGGGTTGCTTACCCTTACATTTAACTTGATGTATAATTCACACCCAAAAAATAAAAAGACAAAATATAGTGCAGATGGTAGTTATACGTTCATAAAACATACATAAAGAAGAAGTCAGACCACTCACATTTATTAGAGCTTAAATCGATTGGCTCAGTAAACAGAGTTTTTGTACTTTTGAGGTAGCATCTCACGGTCTTCCTGGTCTAATTAAAACACTCTCGGTAGGAAGGAAAAAAGAATGGCAACCAATGTGTAGTATCACGTTTCCATTTAAAATCAGGAGGGTATATTGCTCACCTTTTTCAGAGCCTTAATGTCCTGGCTGTGAGGGTAGTAGGCATTGTACCACCATAGATGGGATGGCACGTTGCGCCATCTATAGTGGCACAGCGCCTACTTCCCTCAGAGCCAGGACATTAGATGGGATAGAACATTGTTCCTTTGTGGGTTTGAATTATACATCAGGTTAAATTTAAGGGTAAGCGACCCTAT